TTCCCCCTCCTCCCCGGCCAGCCTCACCTCCCTGCTGCCATCTCTTCCCTGCTGGAGGAGAGCTGTCCCAGGGAAGGACTGGGCCACCAGAGCGCTTGCTGGGAGAGCAGCAGAGCATTCTGGAAGCTTTGTCTTTCAGACTTGCCACGTGAGCTGTGGTGAGCTACCTCTGTTCCTGGCAGCCCAGACTCTTCCTCGCACTGGCAGACTATTCTTAGATTGCTTTAGTGTGAGAGGCAGTTATTAGATACTTTCTAAATTACTTTAAAAAGATAAAGAACCTAAATAGTCCTGAAAGTGGTGAGTGGGAGCTGTCAAGGAAACAACTCACTAATGGAAACAGCATAATTAACTGCTTTATTTAAATGACCTGCCAGTAAGTTGTTGAGAGGAGCTGATAAACAAGGGACTGCAGCAGCAGAGTGTCTTTGCAACTCTAACTGAGTGATCCAAGCTCTAGTAAGTGGCCTTATTACAGAGAATTTAGCTTTGGGGCAGAAACACAGATAGTGGTCATTTGGAGGAACACAAAGTCAGAATCCCTGCAAGTGTTTTGAACTGTTTTGTCTCTTTGTATTGTTTTGGCTGGGGGTGTTGTGTTTGCAGGATATCCCCCTACTCCCGCACACACTGAGCAAGCTCTGGAACGGCACTTCAGAACCAGGGTGGTTGGTGGGGCTACAAACAGAAATGCCAAACCTTTCCCTGTCATTTCTTGTCTCAAGAATGTGCAGCCATGTCACAGTCATCCTGGTGACCAGGTGATTATTGGAGTGACAATGGGCGAGCATGAACCAGAAACATCTAATAGCCCTTAGAAGATTTCCTTGAAGGCTTGGCTTTCTGAGCTGGAAGCTGAAACAAGCCCGCTAGACGTAGCGCTTGGCAAAAATAGCACTGCTGAGGCAGAGGCCGAGCTTGCAGCATGGAGGTTTGGGATTTAGCTCTTGGTGGGATTTTAGGGCCTATTAGTGGTGTTTAAATGGCAGCAATGGCCAAATGCTGCACAGCCATGGGAAGAGATAACCAGCCTTTGCCCAGAGGAGCACGCAAACTAAATGGCCGAGTGAGGAAGAATGAAGTCAGCATGGAAGCAGATGCGTGGCAATTAGCTGTGGCTCAAGAGCTCCCCTGAAAATACTTTCTCAAATTAATTTGCTGGATGAAGTAGAGTTTGTCTGTCAGACCCACCGTCAGCTGGTTCGGTTGGTGTGTCATGGCCAAGGTCACCAGCAAGCAAATTTCCAACTGTGAGAAGGCAGCAGCTATGGGAATCAGTTACAGAAGCAGGAATCATGACTTAGGAGGTCTCTAGTCCAACGTTCTGCTGAAGGCAGGGCAGACACTGAATGCAGACCAGGTTTTGGTGTCATCTCCAACCTCAATACGACATCAGTCAGCTCTCTGAAAACCCTTCAGTGCAGCCCATGGCATCCCACAGATGAGTTCAGGAGAAGTAGGTTAAGTCAAGGAAAAGATTTGGAATTCAGGGGTGTGGGGGAGAATACCGAGATGTTTGTGAGATAAGTCATCTAATGTAAAATTAGGACCTGAATAGATTTTTCTTGTTGTCTGCTAGTGTGTCACTCTGATGTAATGAAGTGAGCATCTAATTCGTTCTTTCTGTCTGTGAGAGCTGCATTTCAGATTTCACTTCTCTTCTCAAGTGTGAAAGAGCAGGGACTGTAGGTCAGGCTGAGTTCCTGCTGGTGAGTGATCCCAGGTATCACGTCGGGCCTGAACAGGATCCTGTTGCCACCTCAGTGGCATCAGCTTTACTTCCATTACTAGGCCGTCCCAACCAATTCAAGTATTTACTCCTTTGTCCTTTTTAACTCAGGACTTGTCTCCACCCCTCCCTGTGACGAGTGGCGTGTTTCGCTCCTGTTCTGCTGGTCTGTGAGTTCATTGTTTGCAGGCTGGCAAGGCCCCAGTTCTGGGGTGACAGATGGAGCAGGCTGCAGACCGGGCAGTTGCCTCCCAGCCTGAATGATATTTTAATAAGCACAGAGAGGTGACAGAGAGTGAAGCTGCTCCCTGGAATGACTGGTAGTTTTGTTTTCAGCCTGAAAGCACTAATAGATGATTTTTTTGGCCTCAGTCCAAAAAGAAAAAAAAAATCACAGAAGCTAGAAGCAGAAAATCCCATTAGCTCCTAAATTATCCCCCTTTTATACGGGTCAAAAAATTTTCCTTCTCTCTGGTCTATTATCCAGACACGGAGTTGTTCCCTGGTCTCAGTATTTCAGTTCTCTCTTAGGGATTCTGTACTTTGGGAGACTTACCTTTTATTCATCTTTTGTTTCCCTTCTTTTTTTATTTTTTAAGTTCATTCCTTTTATGCACTGTTCTCCTTCACTCCCTCAGCATCCCCTCTCCTTCTTGTTTCTTCACGCCCTTAAGAGATTGGTGGTGAAGTCTCTCTGAATAACGGGGTCCTCCAGGCTCCTTGGCATCCAGCTCCCGGCTCCTGCGAACCAGCCGGCGCAGTGCTGGGCAGTGGCAGCTGCATGGGCATCTCCAGAGCACGTGTCCTTCAGCTGGATCTGGGCTATGGAACGCAGGCTCTCTGTAGGGCTTTGTTCCATCTTTGGTCTTACGATAAAAGTGCTACAAAAGGGAGCTCTGGCACAGCCCCAGCAGGCTCTGAGATCCCGCTGTGTTGTGAGCAACACGGTGTTTTGCAGACAAGCTGTAGGATAGCCAGCCTTCAGAGGAGAAGATTCTTTTTCTTCCTATGAGTGCAGGGGGAGAAGGTCCAGCTCTCGCTAGGAAACTATCAAAATGGTGCTGGGATCTGAAAGGAGGTATGGTCCCATACACTGATCAGAGAATGCACTGAAAACTTGGACGTAGACCTTCCTGTCTATGTAGCAGCATTCAGGTCTGGGTTTCAACTGGAGTATGAGCTGGAAATTAATGGGATTCTTGCTAAAATATGCTTCTTTTCCCCTTCAGATACAATGGTGACACTGAAGGTTCAGATCCTGTTGGGCTTCCTTTGCTGCATGGCTTTCCTGCCTACAGATGGCTTCCCAGCAGACCCCAGTACTGAATTTCGCTCTGCTTTCTCTGTGGCCAGAACCAGCAGCATGGAAGGAAGCTCTGAGATGGTCATTACCTTTGACAAAGTGTATGTGAACATTGGCAATGACTTTGATCCCAAGACAGGATTGTTCCGCTGCCGGATCCCCGGAGCCTACTACTTCTCCTTCACTGTTGGGAAGTACCCAAAGAAAAACTTGTCTGTCATGCTGATGAGAAACAAGAACGAGGTGCAGGTGATTGTGTATGACGAGCATCACCGCAAGGAGCGGAAGGTGGCCAGCCAGAGTGCCATGCTGCAGCTTGACTACGGGGACACCGTTTGGCTGCGCTTACACGGCGACCCCAAATATGCTCTGTACAGCAATGTGGCCCCCTACCCAACTTTCAACGGCTACCTGATCTACCCAGACACTTCTGCCTTCTTCCAGAATGCCCTTGGCTCTCAGGAGCTGGGGCCACACCGTCACACTGTCGCGCAGCTTCCCGGAGAGCAGCACGAGGCTGGGCAGCGACGCCTGGTGCCGGGCCAGCCGGGCAGGGAAGCAGACCCTCGCTCCGCCTTCTCTGTTGCCCGCTCGCAAAGTCTCCTGGGGACGGATGACAAGCAAACCCAGCACGAGCCCATCACATTCGACACGGAGTTTGTGAACATTGGGAAAGATTTCAATTCCTCCACCGGCATCTTCTCGTGCCGCATACCCGGCGCGTACTATTTCTCCTTCACCATTGGCAAAATGCCCTTCAAGACTATGTCAGTGAAGCTCATGAAGAACCACAATGAGGTGCAGGCCATGATCTATGACGACAACCACTCCAAGAGGCGGGAGATGCAGAGCCAGAGCATCATGCTGCCTCTGCAATACGGGGACACTGTTTGGCTCTACAGCCATCAGCACGATGGCTACGGTGCCTACAGCAACCACGGCAAGTACATCACCTTCACGGGCTTCCTGATCTACTCGGAGGCTCAGCCAAAGCGGCTCCTGGGTGCCAGCTCGCCCCAAGGGCCCAGTAATTGAAGGCAGCAGTGAAGGAGCATAAGCAAAGCCGAGGTGCTGCGGACTTGGGTACAGCTCCTCTCCAAGTACCCGCCTCTCCTCCGAGCATGCTCTCGTGTGTCCCGCGCTTGCCGCACGCCTGCACCCCGCCTGCGGGGCTGCTGCCGCGCCTGCCCTTCCCCCGTAGAGAGTCCTTCCTGGCTGTACGTGTGTGTCCCGTGTCGGTGTTTGGGTTCCACATAAGCATGAGGTAGTTCTGGGGCAGGGGTGGGGTGTGCAGCGAGATGCCGAGGGCCAGAGAACTTCTGCAGTGACGTGACTGCAGACCCACAGCATTCAGAAAGCAAGCGGTGTGGTGACTTTCTTACGTATTGGGGGGGAGGGGAATAAATGTCATGAAAATGAATGTAATAAAAATAGAAAAGGTGTAAAATTTTCTTGGACTGGAACTTGTTGTTAGGTGTGAGACTCGTGTGCCTGCCCCCGGCCGAGGTCGCGGTTCAGGGGAGGAAGCAGCGTGTGTCCTTCGTGTGTGTGCAGAGGGTTGGATTCCACACCTGGCATCACAGGCTGGGGTGTGGCTGGGGAAAGGATGAAGGGTGGAGATTGGAGGTGTGTAAAAAAACAGCGTAAGAGTAGAAGAACATCAGGTGGGACTCTAGTTTACTAGAAGTTATACTTCAAATAAAATGCTAACCTTAATGCCTACATCCTTTGGGGACAAACAAACAAATGAGAAAATGAACAAGCTGCTTTGTGAACTGTGTAAATCCATTTTCTGCCACAGCCCTAACCTGACCTCTAAAGCCATTCTCTGTAGCATCTTGCTTCCAGGCTAATAAGAATTCCTGCCTCACCACTCTTCCTCTCCATCTGTTGGGCAGCAGCAGGTTGGAAAAAGATGAACTAGGTCAAAAGCTTGCAGCTCCCACTTTGAGCATCACATGTGCCTCCTCTCTGGGACATGGAAGACTAAGAATATGTCAACAGAAAGGGAATCATGGATCCCATTGTCACAGCATATGCAGTGAGTGTTCAGAAATAATGTAGCTGGGATGGCAGTGGGAAACCTTGTGGAAACAAACCAAAAAATAAAATCAAAACCATCCCAAGTAGATAATTACCTTTATTTCATTCCACACTGCAGTGTGTAAGACAGAGAAAGTTTAATGGTCTCATTCTGTGAAATAGCTGTATTTCGGATTTTGAGGATAGAGATTGTGTATATATTATGTTTGGCTTGTAAAGTGCCATAGCAGTGCAAAAAAACTTCATAGAGGTAAAATCTGCTGAAGAAATAACTAGGTCACAATCCTTAGGCATTTAAATGAGATTTAAGGAAGCGTGTTCCTAACTGATAACTGACACAAACCGGCGTTCATGTGTAAATGTGATATACAAATACTAGAAAGCTTCATGGAAAACGTGCATTTTCAGGTTGCTTTTTAAAGAAAAAGGAGTATGTGAGATCTGAAATTACTACAGACACATAAAATGTGATGCCACTTGAGCAGAAAGCTGAAATGAAATACGTGACCTATATCACGAAAGACAGCAAAATCTGCATAGCTGGTTACTGGAGAGGAGAAAGAAGCTGTGTTTGGCTGAAACCACGGGGGGAATACATGGAGGCTGGACCGAACTGACCAAAATGAAGTCGGCTAGGACAGCAATCCTGGGAGAAACTGCCAGGGCACCTCTGCGGTTAGCATCAGTGACAGAGAGCATGCCGAAGCACCACTGCCCCCTTCAGCACAGCCCGCCTGGAAATCAGACAGGAGAAAAACCCCAGAAACCAGGAAAGGGTGAGGCACCCTTCATAGCTTTGTGCTATTCCATTGCAAAGTAAAAGCTCGTTGTAAATCCTCGGAGGGTTGGCCAGCGCAGTGCAGGGAGCAGGACGCCAGGGTGAGGGAGGGCGCAGAGCGGCAGCCCCGCGGCGCAAGGCTGAGGCCAGGCACACCCCATCCCTCCCGCTCCCCACCCTCAGGTGTCTCTCCTGGTCCCGGCCAGGTTAGAACGGTAGGCATGTTTCAGAGCTGCTAAGTGTGATGGCTTCTCCTCCCAGGGCCAGGAAGCCAGGAGGAGGGTGGTGTTTGCAGGGCAGAGCCCCTTGCACAGGTCACGGAAGATTTCATCGACCAGCTGGGAGAAAACATTAATCCAGAGATTTTTATCCAGGCCCTGCACGGAGCGAACCTGGTAGGCGCAGTAAGCACCGGTGAGGAGGAGACGATCAAACTCTGTCGGAGGCAAGGGGGCATCCGTCCGTGCGTAGTATCTCAGGTGCTGCTCCACCTCTGTCGGCGT